TGGTATTCTTATAAATAAAAATAAAAAAGGCTTTTCTCGATATTCAGAAAGATAACTAGTCTGTTTGACCTGTATTATATTGAAAGCCTTACACATGTGCTTTCTGCTGTGCAGATAAATGAGTTTGTAAAACTTGGTGGGGACCAGCTTGTTCCCTATTATGCTGATATTCTGGGAGCGATTTTACCCTGCATATCTGATAAAGAAGAGAAAATTAGAGTGGTAGGTTTATTCTCCTCTTCCTATATATCTGGTTTCACTGCTTCAACATATTTCCTCCACTGAACTCCTTTTCCCTCTCTCAACTAAAGGTTGCTCGTGAAACCAATGAGGAGATTCGTGCCATTAAGGCTGATCCAGCTGAAGGGTTTGACGTTGGAGCAATCCTCTCTATTGCAAGGAGGTGTAGTTTTTCCACCAAAACAAGCTTGGGTTATATGTTTTTAGAATTTACCTTTTTTATTTTATGGGTATAAATAGGGCTTCAGTTTGTTGTGGAGCTGCTGTCCATTCGGAAGTTGGGTTTTATATTTTTATGATAAAACATTTATTATGCTTAATTTTTTTTTGTATTGATTTGAGAATATTTTCTGATCAGGCAATTATCTAGTGAATGGGAGGCTACTAGAATCGAAGCACTGCACTGGATTTCAAACCTTTTAAACAGACATCGCGCTGAGGTAATTTAGCACTTCTTGAGTTGTTTGTACGTCCAGTTGCTTGATTGTTTCTTACCTGTCTTCCCATAATGTTTAATCAAGGGAGGAGGTACCATAACTGGGTTAATAGTTAGGAAATTTCTCTAAATTCTGATTTTTAGTTAGCGTGGGCAATGTTTCTTTGTCATATCATAGGTTACTGTTATGAGGGCCTGTATTTTTTCTATTAGAAATATATGATTTTAAAATTTCCTTGAAACAGGTTCTAACTTTTCTGAACGACATATTTAACACCCTTTTGGAAGCGCTCTCAGATGCTTCTGATCAGGTAATCCTTTTATTCTGATGGATATTTTTCTCTTATTGTTCCAAGTTATATTTTCTATTCTTTCTTTGGTTGCAATTTCATTTAAGGTGTTATTGTCAACTCCCACTGTTTCTGTATTTTGGCACTTGTTATCTTCAACATATAATTCATGTGGATCCTTCGATTTGTTGATTGACTATTACTTAAGGTTGTCAGAGGAAAAAAGATGATTGAAAAACAATACTGCTAAGCGAAAGCTATTCTAAACTTATATTTCCAATAGTGATGGTTACAATGAAATGGACTTGGTGTATTGTGTTTGAAAATTGGCTTTTTGAAATATGGTAAGAGAATTTTAAGTGATTATTCTAAGAAAGTTCCTCCGTGTTTGAAGTCATAAAGGTTGTAGTCCCCCTCAGGTAATTAAAAGGAAATTTAATATTCTTTCAATTATTTATATTTATTTTGGTTTCAATTATTGATATTGGCCATAATGTGTTTGAAGTCGTAACATTTGTTCTGTTTGGTTCAACCCTTGAAGTTATGATTACTGTCAGTTGTTTTGTTAATGGGCTACGATGTCATGCACCAAATAATAGTGTTGTTACTTTCGTTCATTCTCTCTCTGTGCTTTGCGATTATCATCTGCTGACTTAACTATATTATACTTTTCTTTCTTAGTTACTTACTTGTCCAGAGGCATTTTGAACTTTGTAAAAATAAAGTTATTCAGTTATCGTGTAATATTTCATTTCCAATTATGGGCTTTAGCTGTCTCCTAGTATGCTAGAATGAAGGTTATTTATTGCTTTATGGTGTCCAGAAACATGCATGAAAAGCTAACTGACTCCATGTGTGTATCTAATGTTGCAAGTCTGGATTATGTCCAGGTGGTTCTCTTGGTCCTAGAAGTTCATGCATGCATAGCAAAAGATCCACAACACTTCCGCCAGCTTGTTGTGTTCCTTGTGCATAATTTTCGTGTGGATAACTCTCTTCTAGAAAAGTGAGTCTCTCCCTCTCCCTCTCTCCTCCCTCCATGTGCTGTAGCTAATTTTAAATCTGTGATAATATGTTTCTTGTTTTAACTCCGGTCCTTATTTTGTTTTCCTTTCCCCAAGACGTGGTGCGTTGATTATTCGCCGACTTTGTGTGCTTTTAGATGCTGAAAGGGTCTACCGAGAACTGTCTACTATACTAGAAGCAGAGTCAGACCTGGATTTTGCATCTGTTATGGTTCAGGTTGTTATTTATCACACTACTTAGAGCAACATGTGCATGAGTGACCCAAATGGAGCAACGATCGCATGTGACATGATAAATGAGCTCGTACATTGTATTGCCCAGAATTAAAATGTTTTTCTCCTGACTGAGGCATTTAAAAAGACCAATTTTATTGTATACTTGTGTTCTTTATTCAAGAGTTCTTTCTTCTGTGTTCTGTCTAGCCTAATCTTTTTTTATCCCTGTGTTCCTTTTCCTTGTTCAGGCTTTGAACTTGATTTTACTTACATCGTCCGAGTTGGCTGAGCTTCGAGATCTTTTGAAAAGATCACTTGTGAATCCTTCTGGGAAGGACTTATTTGTTTCCTTATATGCTTCATGGTGCCACTCACCCATGGCAATTATAAGCCTCTGCTTATTAGCTCAGGTGAGGCTCTAGAGCTTTGTCACCTATGGTCACCCCTTTCATTTAAAAATCTGTGTTTGCGTGTGAGCATTGGATTTCTTGTCCTGAACATGTCGTGTTGTTTTTTTCATGACAGACATATCAGCATGCGAGTACTGTGATTCAGTCTCTGGTGGAGGAAGATATTAATGTCAAGTTTTTGGTCCAGCTGGATAAATTGATTCGGTTACTAGAAACTCCAATCTTTGCGTATCTTAGATTACAGGTGCAGTATTGAAATGCTTCTCTTTTTCTTAGCATTGGAGTCCTCCTGTGGCATCCGTCATGTTTACCCTCATCATTTTGTGTTTGCTTTCTCAAACTGGCATGAGTTTGAGTGCCTGAGCTCGTATTTTGATTCTTGCAGCTTCTTGAACCTGGAAGACATATGTGGTTGTTAAAAACCTTGTATGGTCTTCTGATGTTGCTTCCTCAGGTATAAACTAAGCGTTCTTTTTATGCTATTTAAGGATAATTTTGATTGTGTGCCAAATTGTTTTCTGGTGGTATTCAGTAATTAAACTATCATTAAGCATGAACAATTGAGATCAAACCCTAGTATTTTGAAACTCCTTCAATCTGTGCACTGCAAGAATTTTTGTTTTTGTGATTGATATTTGTTACGTGTTTTAAGTTTCATTTGATGCTTCATTGCAGCAAAGTGCCGCCTTTAAAATTCTACGGACGCGTTTAAAAACTGTCCCTTCATACGCATTCAACAGTGAGCAACTCAGACGAACTTCTTCAGGGAATCCCCATCAGATTATACCTCACATGCCAAGTTGTTCGCAGATCATTGAAGACGGGGACATAAACCAGGACAGTAAGAGTTCTCATAATGGAATAAACTTTGCTTTAAGACTACAGCAGTTTGAGCAAATGCATCAGCAACATCGTCAGCATGCAAAAGTGCAGGCACAGTCACACAGTACTTCCACAGCTTCTTCAACACCGAAGGTTTGTTGAGTTTCTTCCATTTGGGAAACATTGCTGTTGAGAAAAATAGATTTCGATGAGTGTTTTCAGCATATGTTTATTTGAGGGCCGTATTGGTAGGCAAGATTCGTTATCGTTATATATGTAATAGGGTTTTGTTGGAATTACATTGCTGCCTTGTTGTACATGCAGGATGTGCAAAGACCTGAAGAACAAAGCCATAGCCGATCGCCTTCATCAGATGTGAATAGGCTTCCTTCCAGATCTCGGAGGGCCCCGGGGCAGTTACAATTATAACGTTGCTGCACCTAGACAGTGGCCGAGGCGATATTGTACTCATCTGAGGAAGGAGGAAGCGTAGGAGCCGTGGATGACGGGATCTGGTATAGTTTGTAAAATTGTATATCTTAGTAGTTTGTTGTTAAAACTCATGGAGGTTGGGATGGTAAAAATTGGGTTTCGAATTGAGTTGAGCTCAGCTGTAAGCTCGAGCTATTCTTTCGGACTTGTGTAAGCGAGCGGGGATGCACCCCTACGTGGTTGTGTTATTTTTTTATCGAAAACCACGTGGGGGTAAGAAAGGAGGGAGGTATTTCATTTAGAAGATTCAGTTTGTTTTCTTAATACCCACCTGTTACAGCAGTCTTATAAATGTCGAGAGCTACTTCTTCTTGTACACCTTTGATCTGATCCTGAATTTTTTTTTTTTAAAAAAAAATGAGAAAGAAAAAAATATATAGTTTAATGTCTAGTATTTATTTTTAATCGATCGATGCACTATTGTTTTCGCCAAACTCTGTTTCTTGATTTCTTTCATTTCGTCGGCCAAAATATCTTGAAAATGATCTTCACGAATTCAGAGTGATGGTTTTAGTAGATTTTCTAAAAGGCATGTTAGTCAATTTTCTCCCAAAATTTGTACGGAGCTTGAACATTAAGTTTAGCTAATACCCATGAACATTTATACTTCGCTAATTTCCCTCCGTAAATTTTAGTTTAGCCAATTACCCTTGAACCTTTATAAATATTTAATTTTCTAACCATCTTGATCATGAGGATAAAACATAACAACTATATGAAGGCAAAAAAAGGGAAAATTAGATGAATGAATTTTTTGGGAACTTCAACGAAAAGCTTCTAGTGCTATTCACTTTAACTAAAAACTATATTTTTACACTAAAAAGTCAATTATAGTACTATTCCCTTTATCCTTTATTTTGTTTTTATCGTTAAAATTCAAAATTTTTAAATTCTTTTCATTAGTTTTTCTTTAAAAAAAAAAAAAAAAAGAAATCTAACGCAGAGGAGGAAATCGGGTACCTAAAAAATTTTAGGCATGTAATCAATTAAAATTAAAGTTTGGTTGGGAAATTGACTAATATAAAAGTTCTAAGATATAATTGGTTAAAATGAAAATGTAAGAGAAAAATTGAACCCACTATACAAATTTAGTGGACAAATAGACAAATACCTCTTTCTAAAATATGTTTTAGCATGGAATTTTCTCCCACAAGAGATCTTAAGACACCGATGGTTTCAAAAATCAAATCCAATTAAAATAACAAGATAAGTAATATAGCAACACACATGCCGTATTACAACTTGGAAATTTTACAATACAGGGGAAAGGGAGGAACGTCCAGAAATCAGAGCCTTGTGCTGCACCGTGAACCGGAAGCGATGCGCTCCGAATCGAATCAAGTCCTCGATCGATCCGCTAGGTTTTCGAGTTGTCATTTCACGGGGGCAATTGTTTCATCATAACAAGAAAGAACGTTCCATCTAATACAAGCATCCTTCTTACACATCCATTCAGGCACAACAATTGAACTGCACCGGAAGCTTTGATCCTTCATATCGTAAAAGTGAAGAAATGCTTGAGATAGCGCTCCGGATTTTATCAAGACCTCACCGGTGTGGAATGCGCATAAACAACTGTAAGGGTATGCAACGTCGAAAACCTCCTTAACCCACACTTGATTTTGGTAGTCCTTCAAAATCCACAACTGTGACGCTGCACTACATGAAGTCGAACTTCTCCCCATGTCATATGTGAGAGCTAAACATCCACCCACATCAACAACTGCCCAAAAATGATGGCGGATACTACAGACTTCTCGAGGAAATGGGATGACTTTGAATCTTTGCTCCCCTAGGTCAAATACCACTATACATTTCTCTTCCTCGTGTATCCAATGTATGGCTCCGTGAAGGCACACACTTCTCATGTCAATGTGCCAAAAAGTATGATCAAATGGCAGATCATCGTGCTCTACCTCTACGCACCTCCACGACTCCGCACTACCCAGTGTGAAAACTTGGAGGCTAATAACTGCAACCGCCCTATAAAAATTGGCAGGCTCTTGGTGTAAAAACCTGCATAGCTTGACTTGGACAACCATGTACTCGTTTCTAACAGGACTGAATCCAAAGCCATATCCAACCTCGACTCCGCAGGGTTTGATGTCCGGTGAAGTAGATTGGTGGCTGGTGGGTGAATTGGAAATGGAGGGGAGGGTCATAGACTCTCGGGTGCAGGGGTTAAATACACGAATGCGGTGCTCACGAAAGAAGATAAAACAAGCCAAGCCGTTGGTACACAGTATAATGGGGAGACTGGATTCTTGGGGCTCTAGTGTTAGAAGGTGGGTGGCGCCGGCGGGTGAGGGGCTGCCATCTTTGTTGATTTGGAGGGACATAATGTGTTGCCGCTTCGTGTCGATGTGCCTGAGATCGAGGAGGAGCAGACTGGTGTTTCGATTGGAATGCAAGTTCCGGTAGGCAATGAGAAAAGAAGGGTTTCGGGTGATGAGAGCGAGCCACGCCTTGCAAACACATTTGAACCGCATCAGAGACTTGGCTGGTAGCTTTGGGAGTATTCGAAACCATATGATTTCATTTGGGAGCTCTGCAACTAGTGATTGAATTTTCGGAACTTCATCGCCTTTCGCTTCAGCTACTTCCATGGTGATTTTTCGGCCGGGGATTCCGAATCCCGACCAAATTTCCGGTTTTCAATTTAAAAAAAAACAAAATACAAATGCGAAATGTAAACGAAATGGTTATCAAACAGATCTTATGAAATATGGAGTTTTCAATAATTCAGCGTGTGAACATATAAACAAAAAAGATCAAAACAGAGAAACGGAGAGATCAAAGCGACCACTTAGTAGAGGAAGTTTTACCAGATCCCTTCTTCTCTTTGGTTTTATGGCCACCGTGAGGATCGCCGTCTGCCGCAGCGATAAGCGTGTCTGCGCTAACAACAGTCCCAGAAGCTTCTGCTGTACAACGAAAATGGCGAGATATATATTCTTTTTCTTCATGGACACGTACACGAGAGATTTTTCAGCGTGCGTTGTTGGCCCGTTTTACTTTTTATGATTAAAACTTTGAAAAGAGATTATTTTTTTATTCATCCAATATTCTAATTAATTAGGATGTCGGTATCCAAACCATTTTTTATTCAATTGATACTAGTAAAAAACACACTTTATGTGTGAGAAGTACATTTTTTATTTTTTATTTTTTTATTTTTTTGATGGGAGGAGTAAATTTTTTTTACAACAGGGATTTGAAAAAAGAAATAAACAGTTCAATTTGACTGTGAGGTTTAAATTAAAAAAAAAACGTGTTTGTACAAAAACCATTGATCTTCGTATCATAAAAGTGAACCCGTGGAAAAAATTGAATAAAGACCTCACCTGTGTGGATCGTATACAAAGAATCAAATCCCTTGAATGTTGACTCCCTCGGTAAGACGGCAACCCAAACTTGATTTTGGTAGTCCTTCAAAATCCATACCTAAGGTACCGTTTGGTACGTGAGACAGGACGGAAGACAGTGGGATGATGCGTTCCGTCCTACGTTTGGTGTGTCTAAAAACCGCGGAACAGATTTGTGAACACGGAAAATTCCTGAAACGAAAGAGACAAGAACAATCGTGCACAAACAAATATTTGTATTTAGATGATTTTGGGTTACAATCTCTCTCTAATTTGATCATCTGATTCGATCTCCGTAAGGTGTTGATTTGTGGATGTTTCGTTGATCCAAGGGCCGTTGGGGCTTGATCTTGGATGAATTGTTGGAAGTTTCTTCAAAGGGCCGTGGGCTTGATCTTTGAAGGTGGATTTGAGCGGATCTTCAAGGAGCCATTGGGGCTTGATCTTGAGTAACGGTGATGAACGGATCTCCAAGGGCTTTTGGGCTTGATCTTGAAGAACAGTGATGACCGGATCTTCAAGGGCTTTTGGGCTTGATCTTGAAGAACGGTTGGATGTGTGGATTTGTCAACGTTGTTGATCCAAAGGGCCGTTGGGGCTTGATCTTGGATGAACGATGAACGAAGAACGAAGAACACTTTCTTCGAGGGCCGTCGGGGCTTGATCTTGAAGGTGGATTTGATGAAGAACGAAAAGGGCTTTCTTGATCCTTCGGGATTTGCTTGAGCGCTTCGGAGTTTCAGAGCTTCAGAGCTTCAAGGTGTAATATGAATTCCTCTCCCAAAATGAATGAAATGGGCTTGTATTTATAGAATTTTCCAATGCCTAATTTTGAATATAATATCCCAGATGAAATAAGTCGTTTCTGCCAGGTGTTGACACGTGTCCTATTTGATGACTTTTCCAACTCATTTCAATTTTCGTTGAGTCACACGCTACGTGCAAAATTTATGTAATACATGAGCGTTGACACTTGATTTATCGGTCAACATTTATTTACGAAATTTCGATGTCTACAAGATTATCCCATGAGACGAAAATTGGCTAATTTTTTGTTCCACCTTCTCCCCTGTAACGATTGGTTTCACATTCGTGAACACAAATTTATAACATTTTAAGACAAAATTGCCCCTTATCTTTTTCAATATTTACACCATCCATGGAAGATCGTTCCGTTCCGTCCCGTCTGCGTACCAAACGGACCATTAACGTCGTCCTCAATTTTCTTGAGTTCCAAGGCTTCTTAGAGCAAGACATCCACCAATGTCCACAATTGTCCCGGGATTGCATACGTATCCGCCGCTAGCATCTTCTTTAGGAAGAGGAATGGCTCTGAATCTCTCAACTCCAAGATCGAATACCAGTGTTTTATCATGACATACCCTGTGGAGGCCTCCATGAAGGAACACTCTTTCACTGCACATGAAGCGCGTCAGACGTACTTTTAGGAAGAGGACTTGTAGACGCACTTGAAGCTAGCACGTCAGAGACTTGGCCGGCGTGTTTGAAACCACATGATTTCGTTAGGGAGCTGCGGAAGTTTTGATCGAACGCGACCATTACCTTCAACTTCAACTACTTCCATGACAACCTCGAAACACAAACCTTCTACTCTCTTGCAAAAATCTCAATACTCAGCCAAGCAATAGGTATTGGTACGTTAGTGAGTGTGTGTTCTGTAGGAGCAGTGGCCAAAGAAAAACCATAATCCTTGTACAACTCTGAGTTTCAAACTAAGCAAACCACAGAGTTTTCAAAATAAGGGTCACGCAGACTCTAAGATGGAAGAATCATCAACTGCTATAAACAACCCCAATAAAAAGTGAGAACCCAGAGGGAAGAGCTCCAGTGGTTTGTGAAGAAAGTTGCATCGAATCGACTTGCGCTGCCGGTGTCTAAATCAACACGCCTGGCCGCGTCACCATTTTCAGGGCAAATTGATCGTAGTTGGTCAAGGAATAAAGGGTTAATTGTTTCGTCAGCGCCATTTCCGGTGGTGGTGAAGTTATACAGTCTGTACTTGAAGAACTGGCAAGCTGAGGTGGGAAGTTGATAAGTTGTCGAGACGAACTCCCTATACCCATTCGTTCAGTCTTATTGGAAAAGAAAGACGGAACTTCACACCTATACAACACGGGCAGCAGCAAATCCACCAAGGTATGCCTTGTACATGTTCGACGATTTACCCCAGACATTCTGAAAGCTCTCTTCGGTACTAGTCTTTCCTCCTGCCTTGCTTGATCTGGCTCTGTTGCTCGGTTGAGGTGCCTTGTACCTGCTCGACGAATTGCTCCAGAGAATCTGCCTTTTTTTTTTTTTTTTTTTTTTTTTCAGGGCGTCCTTTATGGTGTTGACAACTCAAAACTGAATTATCATGGGCACAAATATCGTTTGTCCATGGGGTTTTCTTGCAGAGACGGTTATGCCGACAACTAATATGCCCCCCGCTCAACCACTTCTGAAGGCAAGGACTTTTGCTTATGTGGTTTCCACCCCAATTGAAGACGTCCATCTCAGCCAACTTCCAACTCCGGTTGTGCGTGGGGACAAAACATATGTCAAGATTAGCGAGGATCTATACCAAGAACAGTTGAAGTTGTTTCAAAATAATCTCCTTGGGCGTTTGCTCCTAAAAAAGGGTTCTACGCCAATGAAGACCGGTGCTCTAAAATCTTGTTTAGAAGATGCATGGCGTCCTACTGCACCATGGAACCTGGTTCCTATAGGTAAAGGTTATTTTGATATCCATTTCAATAAGGAAGATGATATGCGACGGGCATGGGGTGGCGGTACGTGTACTCTCGCTACTGGTTTATTCAGGTTATCAAAATGGACGCCATATTTAAACCAGGTGATGTTCTCCCTCAAACTCATGCTCAGGTATGGATTAAAATTTTTGGTTTGAGTCAGGAATATTGGCATCCTAGACACTTGATGGAAATTGCGAGAGGGGTTGGCACCCCCTTGCAACTAGATTCAGCTACAAGGGAAAGGCAATATGGTTATTATGCACGTATATTAGTTGATGTCAATTGATGTGAGAATTACTTGACACACAAATTAAACCCTATTTGTGACAATTGTAGTAATGATGTAAGTAGGGATCGTTCTAACCGGAGATTAACTAGGGGTGCTAAACACTTGACTCAAATAAATAAAACTAACTTTTAAAACACTAAGACAAACCAAAAGACTCAAAACAAGTTCAAAAGACTCCAAATACTTAAAAGCATAAAATAAGATAGATTTGAACGACTAAGACTTTAACAAAATATGGGGAGGGGGAATTGAGTTGTTTTTGACGAGATTAAATTAAATGGACAGATTATAATTAAGGGCAAAATGTAAATATGAATTCGATGAAAAATATGGATGATGGAATAGCTTAAGGGGTTCTTCTCCACACATGTCACACTTGCAATACAAGATCGATTCTCAGTTGGTCTTTCGATAAATTATGAAACTCAAACACCTAGGTTAATTAGGTCCGCTTAAATTAACCGTCAAGTTCTCCTTAAGTTAATGAATTGGATGGGTTTTGCGCAACGCAATTCACAACATTCTCCCAAAAGTCCTTTACGTGAAAAGCACAATAAAGATACAATCAAAGATCATTAAGCATCATGAAAACTACTATAAGTGTTGACGAGGTATTCGTTACTATGAAAAGCATGAAACTAGTGCCAAGAATTCATTTAACGCGATTGTTTATAAGCAACCTCCACTACTTGTGAATATAAGTTCATAACGATTAGGTGAAACTCACTTATATTCTAGCGTCATATTTATGCATGAAAATTAAGCGTGCACTCTCAATAAACATACATAAATAAGTTATCAATCAAACGGTTAAACAAATTGAATCCACAACTTATGAAATTCCAACCAAAGATAATCAATTCATATTGCAAGCATAAACATAGTTTCGAATCACCCCCTAGCTAAAGGGGGGTTTAGTTCCTCATACTTGCAAAACAAAGATACATAAAATTAGACATTGAAATCAAAGATAGAAAACACCTAGAAACGCTCCAACACTCCCAAGGCTTGGGCTTAGGCACGGCACAAGATGTTCCTTCTCCTTCCTTACTTGCAAGCTGCGGCACTAGAGGTTTTGGACGGTTTTGGGTGGTTTTTATGGTGTAGAATGGATGAGGAATGGTATGGAAAGGTTTAGGATTGATGGGTGGTGTGGCTAGGGGTGATTTTTGGCTAAATTTGGAGAGAAAATCTGTTATATCTTTGATGAATATGGAAGGTGGTATTTATAGGCTTGAGATAGGACCACTCCATTTCCTTTGCATGTGAGCTTGTGTGGTGTGTGTTGGCATGTTTCCTCTTTACATTTACACACACATGCTTCATCATTTCAACCACAACACACACACATTTTCTGCCCTATTTTCCTTTACATTTACACACACATGCTTCATCATTTCAAGCACCAAACACCCACATTTTCAGCCCATGTTTCTCCTTTCCTTTGCATGTGTTGTGCCTTCTCTTCTAGCTGTGCATTTCCACTTGCTCCAAAGACAAATGAGTGTAATCATAACTCCATTTGCTGCTGAGTGTTGATGACAAAGCAAAACACAAAACAAGTGCCTT